TTCGATGCCCCCACATACAAAACATAGTAAACATAACAATTACATAATGAGTAAAAACATAATGAGTAAAACATTAGATTAAATTACATTAAAATCCATTTAAAATACTATTAACTGTTGGCCATATCCAAATCCGAATTCTGTGACCAACGACTCAGTCCAAGCCTGTCCATAGTCCGTTCTCCATAGCATTGTCATTATTGTTAGCCTGCTACCCCAAAGGCCTGGTCCCACATGTTTTCAACTTCTTCCTGAAAGACAGGAGGATGCAATTGACCTAATTTCGCTGAGGAGTGAGTTCCACAGGCGAGAGGTCACCGCCAAGAAGGCCCTGTCCCTTATCCCTGCCAAGCGCATTTGCAACGGAGGTGGGATTGAGAGCAGGGCCTCCCCAGATGATCTTAAGCTCCAAGGTGGGACGTAGAGGGAGATACATTCGGACAAGCAAGCTGGGCCGGAACTGTATACTTATTTACTTACTTAGGCAATCCCTCGTTGGCCGAGTAGGATAGTCTCCCAGGATCAGTATTCTGGTAGGTCTGTAGGTGACTGTGGAGCCCTATTCGGAACGTATAGGGTGGATTCCTTTGACGGAATCCAAATGCTGCAATTCTTTGTTGGTCCAAATGAATTCCTTGATCTAGAATTGTAGCAGAATTTGATCCAGGCCTGCATCCAAATCTTTTGTAGCATGGGCCACTAAGCGCCCAAATCCTGGACAATGCTATCTGTGAATTTTGCATTTTCTATAACCTTTTTCAAAATCCTTGCAAGACATCTGGATTCTGGTGGCAAAACGTATTCCATGACAGACAAATTGTGGTAGAAGAGATCCCATGAAGTCTGGAAACTACAGTTCTAGAGCATCCTTCAATGATATCCCGGATTTAAGAATCCCTTGTGTTCATATTGAGTGTTTATGTGTATTTGTTATTTGTTCGGACAATTGCCAACTGTATGGCTACTGTACTTGTGTTGAATCCATGTCTTGTGTCTTGCTATCGTACAGCCAAAAAGGACCCTTGTTTGGTGTAGAGCAGACAGTGGGAATGGTGATTCACTCGAGGCTCAGTGAGAGAATGCAAGGATGTAAAGAATATTTGCTCCTTCCTTTGTTCCTTAGCCGTACCTGCATTTTTCAAAGAAGAATTAAAAAGTACTGAAGCCACAGAAGGAGAAATGGCTACCATGCATTGCAAACTCAGCAAAGAAGCCACAGTGCAATGGAAGAAGGGGGACCAATCTCTGAAACCTAATGAAAAATACACAATGAGACAGAAGGACACCACGGTGGAACTAGTGATCCAGGACCTAGAAGAAGGGGACGCTGGGGATTATGCCTGCGTTTGTGGCAATGAACAAACTACCGCTGCTTTAGCCGTACATGGTAATATTGAGCACCTGAACAGAATTCTACTATTGCCCACCATCCCTTTTCCCATGTGTGTATGTGTGTTTTTAGGGCAGTGCCCTTGTTGTTTACTTGCTTGGAAGATTTTTAAATTCATTGGGCCTTTACGTTACACAATGGCGTGCTTTGCCACTAAATATTATTTCCTCTCTCAGCCTCAGAGGATGGCAATGGCAAAGCTCTCCTCCACAAATTTTGCCAAGACAAACCTGTGAGAAGAGCACTATAAGTCCAAATGACATGAAGGCACACAACAACACCAGCAATGCCCATACCCAACATCTGGTGAACATCATAATACTAATGCTGCTTGGTTTTTTAGCAAGTCATAGAATCATAGAATCAAAGAGTTGGAAGAGACCTCATGGGCCATCCAGTCCAACCCATTCTGACAAGAAGCAGGAATATTGCATTCAAATCACCCCTGACAGATGGCCATCCAGCCTCTGTTTAAAAGCCTCCAAAGAAGGAGCCTCCACCACACTCCGGGCAGAGAGTTCCACTGCTGAACGGCTCTCACAGTCAGGAAAGTTCTTCCTCATGTTCAGATGGAATCTCCTTTCTTGTAGTTTGAAGCCATTGTTCCGCGTCCTAGTCTCCAGGGAAGCAGAAAACAAGCTTGCTCCCTCCTCCCTGTGGCTTCTCTCACATATTTATACATGGCTATCATATCTCCTCTCAGCCTTCTCTTTTTCAGGCTAAAAATGCCCAGCTCCTTAAGCCGCTCCTCATAGGGCTTGTTCTCCAGACCCTTTATCATTTTAGTCGCTCTCCTCTGGACACATTAGTCTGTTCCAAACACTTCTCCCAGGTGCAACCAAAACACATTTTAGGTCAGGAGATCTTTTTAAAGGACATCTGGCTAAACACCTAATCAATGATCCGACCTTGTTGCGTGATCTCAGAATGGCCTCTCAGCTGCTAGACAAAGGTCATTTCTGTTGTGTATTTGTGCTTTAACCGTCTCCATATGTTGCGTTCCTCAGTTCTACCAGCCAGTTTTGAAGAACATCTAAAGAGCGAGGAAGTGATGGAAAGTGGAGTTGCCATTCTGAGCTGCAAATTGACTAAGGCCGCTCCGGTGGAGTGGATGAAGGGGCAGCATTTGCTCAGCAAAAGCGATAAATACCAAATGAGGCAGGAGGGCTGCTTTGTTAAGCTGGTGATCCAAGATGTGGAATTGGAAGATTCTGCAGAATACACTTGCCTCTGTGGAGATGAGAAGACAGCATCCTTCTTGACTGTTCATGGTAAAGGAACATGGTTGCTTACTATTTCGCCCACTATCTGTAGTTGCACATATTTCCTATTTATTGATGTTTGTCATTTGGAGTTGTTTGTTTGTTTGTGTATGTGTGATATTGCTCCTGCTGGGCAGAAGCCATCCATAGACCTGTCACACAAGCGATACTGAAACTAATCACATCTTCCTAAGACAGTTCAATGTTTTCCCACAAGACAGCATTCTCTACCTTGTGGAAATTCCCATCCCTTCTGGTCCTTGTGATACAAATTACAAGGACAGGAAGCTAGGCACACTGTAAGACATGTTCAACTTTCTGTCTTTCCCAATGTTATGCATTTTATTTTATTGTGTTTGTGTCATCTTGTGTTGTGTGGTCCCAAATGCCTTCTCCAAGCTGTCATGTGTCATTAAAAGAAATATGGTGTTTTCTGATCCCCAGCTTTGCCAGCACGCTTCAAATGCAACCTGAAGAACATAGATGCCACAGAAAGTGGTGTAGCCAAACTCTGTTGTGAGTTGACTCGGGTTGCACCAGTAGAATGGAAGAAGGAGCATCAAGTGCTCCAAGCAGGTGAAAAATGCATCATGAAACAAGATGGCACCAGTGTTGAGCTGGTGATCCACCAACTTAATCTTCAGGATGCTGGAAACTACACCTGTACATGTGGAGATGAACAAACCACAGCTTCTTTGAGAGTCAATGGTAAACAACATGTGAATTACTACATTGCAAACTCTCAACAGATATTGTTCTCCTTTCTGTCAGTAGTTGTGATGGTCAACGGTTTGACAAGTGTGTTCCAAGTCCAATTACAATGTATGCCAAGTTTGTCCATGTGTCCTTCACCAAAATGAAGTGTGGTGGTTTGTAACCATATGGATATTGTGTCTGTGTGTCTGTACCTCTAGCATGCTCATGGAGATACTCAAGAAGAGTGACTCCAACCTGCAACCTGGAAATCCATGTCACCCTGTTTTCTTTCAGTACTGGACACTAATTCCTGTGTGGATGCCAATTCTCATCCTACAAATCCTTCACTGATCTCGCTTGCTTGTCCTCCCTCACCGTTGTCCTTTTCTATGATTCCCTGTCCTTCTTAATAGCCTTGAGTCTTCATCCTGGCTAATAGGTCTCAAGATACATGGTGTTCTGAAGTCACTATAGTTAAAAAAACAGCTTGTGAAAGCTATGTTTTCCCATTTCATCCTTCATCCCATTTGTAACTGTGCCTTTGACTCTGTTGTCATACCCTTCACCCTTGCTTGTCTTTCAAACAAGATGTTGGATCCATTTGTTGAGTTGATGGTCTCTCCGATGTCAGCCTGAAAAGCATTAGGGCATATATTTGAACCTATGGAGACCAGCTGTCGACTCTAACAGTCTACGATAAAAACCATTTTGTGTAGATGACGTGGAACCTTGACTCTACAATTCCATTGAACACCATTGTAGCAACATTCCCACTTGTTCTGTGTTGCCTGTCTTCATGTTCCATTGTGCATCTGTAGCAAACATTAGTGTCTCTGTCTGTTGTGAAGATACGTTTGGAGAGTCATTATTCATAGTGCTATCTACTTTTGAAATTGTGCCAGTGGCTGCTGAAGGCAATGGAGGCCCTTATTTCCATTAACCATCCTCAGCTGCTGGAACAAATTCCCCACTCCAGTTTCTGGTCTCCCTCCTACTGGTTTCCCGCTCCTGCTGCGCCACCCACTTTCGAAGGCTGGTCCTTCACCCATGTCTTTTGTGTTCTGCAGCCCTCCCACCACAGTTCAAAACGGAGCTGAAGGACTTGGAAGCCACTGAAAATGGATCAGCCACGCTGCACTGTGAGCTCACCAAGGCTGTTCCAGTGGAGTGGAGGAAGGAAAGCAAGAAGCTAGAAGAAAGCAACAAATACCATATGAGACAAGAAGGCAACACTGTAGAATTGGCGATCTGTGAATTAGACATTCAGGATGCTGGATGTTACAGCTGTATTTGTGGAGAGAAGAAAACCACCGCAGTTCTAACAGTTCACGGTAAAACATGTGAAATTAAGCCGGTTTATTGATACATTGGTAGTAGAATGCTGGACGTATAAATAAGGAATATAGATGTTGGTGCTGGTGATGGGAAAATTGACCTCTGATTCATTTTCTATACTCTACTTGGTACATACATACACACACATCACTTTATTGTTGAGCACTTGGTTGCTGGGACCTGTGAACATCTGGGTGCCATGTATGATAACACTATGTAACATGATTTTTTTCCCTGGGTTATACATGTCATTTCCTAATTGATTCTATGATAAAAACATGGAAAAAGTTTATTAAACTGCAAAAACTTTACCTTTGCAGGAGGGACATCCAGCAACACATTTTCCTATAGTTTTTCTTGTAGAGTCTCAAAAGCCAATGGGATTTTGGCTGCATCAATAGGAGCCTAGTGTCTAGATCTAGGGAAGTAATGCTACCCCTCTATTCCGCTTTGGTTAGACCACACCTGGAATATTGTGTCCAATTCTGGGCACCACAATTCAAGAGAGATATTGACAATCTGGAATGTGTCCAGAGGAGGGTGACTAAAATGATCAAGGGTCTGGAGAACAAGCCCTATGAGGAGCGGCTTAAGGAGCTGGGCATGTTTAGCCTGAAGAAGAAAAGGCTGAGAGGAGATATGATAGCCATGTATAAATATGTGAGAGGAAGTCACAGGGAGGAGGGAGCAAGCTTGTTTTCTGCTTCCCTGGAGACTAGGACGCAATGGGACAATGGCTTCAAACTACAAGAGAGGAGAATCCATCTGAACATGAGGAAGAACTTCCTGACTGTGAGAGCCGTTCAGCAGTGGAACTCTCTGCCCCAGAGGGAGTGTGGAGGAGGCTCCTTCTTTGGAAGCTTTGAAACAGAGGCTGGATGGCCATCTGTCAGGGGTGATTTGAATGCAATATTCCTGCTTCTTGGCAGGGGGTTGGACTGGATGGCCCATGAAGTCTCTTCCAACTCTTTGATTCTATGATTCTGTGATTCTAATTCAACAGTTTGTGGCAGCCACAAAAACAAAGTTTCTGCAGTATAATAACTACTTTCAAAGTAAATACTGCATAATTAAACAGGAAATAACACTTTCAAACCAGGAACAGAAACTTTTTCAAATTTTGTTACATAGTGTAATTGCTAGGGAGTTTCATCAAATATGTACAACATTACTAGAATGTTTGTTTGTTTGTTTATTTATTTATTTACTATATTTCTATACCGCCATTCTCAGCCCGAGGGCAACTCAGGGTGGTTTACAAAACGGCACAATTCGATGCCCACAATAATATAAAAAACAGTTATGTTACACCAGTCGCACTTGTGAAGAAGGTGGGACCTAGAGCGGGCCTTCCCGGCAGATCTTGATGTTCTAGGTAGTTCATAGAGGGAGATGCGTTTGGACGGGTAACTTGGACTGTAACCATTTAGGGCTTTATAGGCTAAAGCCAGCACTTTGAATTGTGCCCGGTAGCAAATCAGCAGCCAGTGGAGCTGATGTAATAGGGGAGTTGTGTGTTCCCTGTACTTTGCTCCAGTGAGAAACCTGTCTGCTGCCTGTTGGACTACTTGGAGCTTCTGGACAGTCTCCAAAGGCAGCCCCATATAGAGCATGTTGCTGTAGTCTATTTGAGATGTAACGGGAGTGTGGATCACTGTGGCCAAGTCTGACTTCCCAAGGTATGGATGAATTTGGCACACAAGTTTTAATTGTGCAAAAGCTCCCCTGGCCACCTCCGAAACCTGGGGTTCCAGGCTCAGAGATAAATATAAGATATTGTAAGATAGATGTATGCTAATTTATAGTTTGTTGGTGAACTGTATGTTAGTGTATGTGATTAAACCTGCACATATATATATATATATACACACACACCGTATATATACGCTCACACATTCACCAATCATTATGTCCAATTCTGAGCACCACAATTCAGGAGAGATATTGACAAGCTGGAATGTGTCCAGAGAAGGGCAACTAAAATGTTCAAGGGTCTGGAGAACAAGCCCTATGAGGAGCGGCTTAAGGAGCTGGGCATGTTTAGCCTGAAGAAGAGAAGGCTGAGAGGAGATATGATAGCCATGTGTAAATATGTGAGAGGAAGTCACAGGGAGGAGGGAGCAAGCTTGTTTTCTGCTTCCTTGGAGACTAGGACGCAATGGAACAATGGCTTCAAACTACAAGAGAGGAGATTCCACCTGAACACGAGGAAGAACTTCCTGACTGTGAGAGCCGTTCAGCAGTGGAACTCTCTGCCCCGGAGTGTGGTGGAGGCTCCTTCTTTGGAAGCTTTTAAACAGAGGCTGGATGGCCATCTGTCAGGGGTGATTTGAATGCAATATTCCTGCTTCTTGGCAGCGGGTTGGACTGGATGGCCCATGAGGTCTCTTCCAACTCTTTGATTCTATGATTCTATTCTATGATTTAACAAAGTAATTTAGGTAATTCACTGTCCTTGGGTGGTAACTTGGGGTCAACTTCTGGGGGGGGGGGGGGGGGTGGCACATGAATTAATTAAGTCAATGAAACGGGTTAGTTTTTAGGATACAGATATTTTTGTGCATTTTGAGCTGATTGTTTGAATGCTAACATCTCAGAAAGTGCACACTAACATCTTTTTGAAGGATACCGTATGGCGTGTGACCACAATTCTGTGCAAAAGTGATGGAAAATGAAAAACGTAACCATGTAACTGATTCGTTACAGATCTGAGAATAGGGCATATGCATTTGTTAAAGTTATAGGTGAGCCAAATAAGATTATTTATTTATCGTGTCATCAGCAACCATACCATTGTATTACATTTCTAACAGAACAAAACAAACACACAGATTTAAAAAAAACCCACAGATTTTGCAAACTTGGTAGTTGATTAAATGTCCTTTGACCAGTATCTGGCCACTTGGAGTGCCTCTGGTGTTGCCGCAAGAAGGTCCTCCATTGTGCATGTGGCAGGGCTCAGGTTGCATTGCAGCAGGTGGTCAGTGGTTTGCTCCTCTCCACACTCGCATGCTGAGGATTCCACCCTGTAGCCCCATTTCTTAAGATTGGCTCTGCATCTCGTGGTGCCAGAGCGCAGTCTGTTCAGCGCCTTCCAAGTCGCCCAGTCTTCTGTGTGCCCAGGGGAGAGTCTCTCATCTGGTATCACCCACGGATTGAGGTGCTGGGTTTGGGCCTGCCACTTTTGGACTCTCGCTTGCTGAGGTGTTCCAGCGAGTGTCTCTGTAGATCTAAGAAAACTATGTCTTGATTTAAGTTGTTGACGTGCTGGCTGATACCCAAACAGGGGATGAGCTGGAGATGTCTCTGCCTTGGTCCTTTCACTATTGGCTGCTACTTCCCGGCGGATGTCAGGTGGTGCAGTACCGGCTAAGCAGTGTCATTTCTCCAGTGGTGTAGGGCATAGACACCCCGTGATAATGCGGCATGTCTCATTAAGAGCCACATCCCGTTTTAGCGTGGTGAGATGTGTTCCACACTGGGCATGCGTACTCAGCAGCAGAGTAGCATAGCGCAAGGGCAGATGTCTTCACTGTGTCTCGATAACAATGGGGAAAAGCCAACTGGGTTCTTCACCATTACCAACCAACATAGCTTATGATAACTTACAATCCACAGGAGTGAATGAAATATGTCGTTTGAACACTTGCAAACATATTTTCAGGGATCCTGGTTACTTTTTTAAAGGTGGTGGAAAGGAAGAAAACAACGACCTTCCTGTGGAAATGCCAAGGAAATCAATGTATCTCTTTTGCTGTAGGATTAATGACAAAAATTTCCTTCCTTGTATAAAATTGTAATCATTATGGTTGTGCCTTGTTACCAGCACTGTGTGTTGTCCTCTTGGACCATCAAATAACCATTTATTCCACAGCATGAAACCTCTGGTGTTTTTCCTTCCTGGAACAGTTTGTAGGTTCCTCTTCTTTGCTCAGGAACTCATATTGTGCCTTCATTGACTGTTGTTGATTTTGCAGCCCTGAAGCCTGAATTCAAGCAACCTCTGAAGAACGAAAAAGCTGAAGAAGGAGGAACAGCCAGATTTCGATGCGACTTAACCATCCTAAAGGCCCCGGTGGAGTGGAGGAAAGACGGCGTGGCCCTTCATTCTGGCCACAAATACGAAATGAGGCAAGAAGGGACCAGATGCGAGCTGCTTATTCATGATGTGGAGCCCAAAGACCGTGGAGAGTATTCTTGCATTACGGGAGATCAGACCACCTCTGCGACATTAACCGTGAAGGGTAAGTGGTGCTGTTTTTTGCCAATGTAATTACATGCAGTCCCTGAGTTAAAAACATCCAACTTACAAATGACTCCTAGTTAAGAACTTCTAGCAAAAATTCAAGATTGATTTGAAGGGACAATTGAAATAATTTCCACTGTGTCAATCCCAAAATGTGTTGTGTTTTGAGACCTTTGCTCCCCCTTGCTGCTCTGTGTCTGATGGATGCCATGCCCGTTGCAGAGCTGGACATCACCATCACCAAGGGCCTGAAGAACATCGAAGTGTTTGAGGATGAAGACGTGGCCTTTGAGTGCAAAGTCTCCCACGACAATGCAAGAGATGTGGAGTGGAAGCTGCAGGAGGCCTCTCTCCAGAGCAATGAGATGAATGAGATCTCCGTTGAGAAAGGCAGGATCCATACGCTGAGGCTGAGGAAGGTCACCCAACAAGATTCTGGCACCGTCACTTTCCGAGTTGGACCATACACCTCCACTGCCCAGCTCACAGTGAAAGGTAAGGACTGGCTGGTGGCTTCTTGCTATCCAGGACTATGGGTTCATCTCAGTTTGTTCACTGCTTCTCTGAAAGGTTCTAATTGTTGCAGTCCAGCACAGGAAACAGGGCCCTCTTGTCATTAATACACCACACCTTGGTTTAGGAAAAATACAATCCCTTTTTATTGAATGATGAATATAAAATAGATAGAAGTCCAAAGGTAGAGTCAAAGTGAAGTGACTGGACTGACCTTGAAGGAGCTGGGGGTGGTGACGGCCAACAGGGAACGCTGGCGTGGGCTGGTCCATGAGGTCACGAAGAGTCGGAGACGACTGAACGAATGAACAACAACAAAAGCACAAAATGAAAGAGCAAACAGCAATGTCCAGAAAGCTTGCAGAAAATCCAAAGCAGTAATGTCCAGAAAACTCTCAATAGAAATCCATGAACAGATTAGCCCTTGCTAATCTCACTTGAAGCCAGAAATTCCCTTAGAGACCAGACCACTGGAAACTGGAAAACCCATGAGGTTTGTACTTGATTCTAAATGATGCTTGGTCTGAGGAAATCTCCCTCACGGGCACTCTTAAATCCCAGAAACTGATTCCGACTAACTCTAATCTTTGGTTTCAGTTGTCAGATTCTCTTAGACCTACATAAATATTGGGCCTCCCTGCGACTCTGGCTTATCTCTAAACTGTGGCTGTTATCATTGACCCAACCAGGTGTCAAGTTATCTTGCAAGCTTGGTCCAGAAGGAGAAGGGAGTGAATTTTTTTTTCTCATGAGAACTTGGCTTCTCCCTTGAAGCGTCTAAATCAAAGCCTGAAGGATTTTTACCAGGAAATCAGAAGATGCTTCCTTCTTGGGAGGAGAGCAATGTCCAGTCTCGATAAAATAGTAAAGAGTAGAGACATCAGACTGGCAACAAAGATCCATTGCCTAGTCAAAGCCATGGTCTTCCCTGTAGTCACCTACGGATGTGAGAGCTGGACCTGAGGGAAGGCTGAGCGAAGGAAGATCGATGCTTTTGAGCTGTGGTGTTGGAGGAAAGTTCTGAGAGTGCCTTGGACTGCGAGAAGATCCAACCAGTCCATCCTCCAGGAAATAAAGCCCGATGCTCATTGGAGGGAAGGATAATAGAGACAAAGTTGAAGTACTTTGGCCACATCATGAGGAGACAGCAAAGCCTAGAGAAGACAATTATGCTGGGGAAAGTGGAAGGCAAAAGGAAGAGGGGCCGACCAAGGGCAAGATGGATGGATGGCATCCTTGAAGTGACTGGACTGACCTTGAAGGAGCTGGGGGGGGTAACGGCCGACAGGGAGCTCTGGCGTGGGCTGGTCCATGAGGTCACGAAGAGTCGGAGACGACTGAACGAATGAACAACAAAAACAACAACAAGGATTTTTACTGCCCAAAGTGTCTCCATCTTGAACCTCGTCCTCATTGATCACTTCAGCCTCACTATCCAAACTAGGCCCTTCAACATTTACATCAATATTATCAACATTAGGTAATACAATCAGAGATTCAGGCTCAAGTTCACACACAGGATCACATACAGGCTGAGTCCCAACACTAATGTCAGAACATTATACAGAGGTTCATTTCAGTAGGGTTCACCATTATCAACTGTTTTCTATTTTGGTGGTCAGTCCAGGAACATATCCCCTATTGCATGTATATTGAGAAACATATCCTGAAATTTCTAAGGCCCACTTGTACAATATGTCTTCACTTGTTGTCAAAGGTGAACCAGAATAGCTGAGAAGTGAAGAGCACAAGTACATTTTAAATCTCATTTTCAGTGCATGGCAAGATGAGAATTCCCCTAATGATCACGAAGGAGAGTCTATGATGTTAAACCCAAGGTGAAGTTCCTAACAGCTGGTTGGCTGTTGGGAATTGTGGGAGTTAAAGTCCAAAACGCCTGGAGGGACTGAAGTTTGCTCATGCCTTTTTTAGAGTGTCTTCTTGAACAAGTTACTAGGCTTGGTTGGTTAAAAAAATGGTTCTAAACTCAGTTCGGAAGTAGGGGGTGCTCGTGGTTTGATTCTAAAGTCACTTCTGATATATTTTTTTGAAAAAATAACTTTCCAAAACTTCCAAATCAATTTGTTAATGCAGACACGCATGCACAGTAGGAAAAAAACAGCACTGGCACTGGGGAATCTTCAGAGGATTCTCCCTCCCTCATTTTTAGACCAATCCTGAGGCAACTTGCTACAGTGACAGAACACATGGACCACTGTTAGCTCCAAATAACCTTTGACTTATCCATGGATTTTTGGCAAATTTTCAAAGTTTTTATTAAAAAACATTTTTAATAATAAAGAAAATTTGTTTCTGGTTTGAAAGTGTTATTTCCTGTTTCATTGGGTGATCTTTACTTTGAGAGTAGTTGTTCAGAAACCTTGTTTGTGTGGCACAAACTGTTAATTTGGTGGAGAACAGAAATCATAGTACAAACTTCATCAAGGAACATCTAGACTGACCCCCTTCTTCTGGTCGCCCAGAACTTTCTGATCTTCTTTCATTATGGCGTCGTAAAGCAACGCCCCCGCTTTTAATGTTACCTAATTTCTCTAATTACAACTAAAGCTGTTTTCAAACCGCTTAGGTAAACAGCGAGCAGGGCTTACGGTTGGCCACTCACGCTGACCCAGAGCTTCGAACTTGCAGCCTCTCTGTTGATAGATCTTATAGTTGATGGAGATTACCAGCTGTGCAAAACCCTTGCTTTACTTTATGCTTTTTTTGGCTTTACCAAAGTTGCATAATGGTTGTGAAAATTAAAATAACAATGGAAGGCACCCAAACATTACAGAATATTTTGGAAAAAAATGGGTAAGTGGTTCAAATTCAGAATCCCCCCCCCCCCACCTTTCCTGCATGGTTCAAAACTCACTTCGGATGTTCAAAATCGTATGATTTCATCCGTATTTCAATCAATTCCAAATGTGTCTATCCAGGTTACACCTTCTTCTTGGTCATTTAACCCATTAAAAATGTTAGGGTCCACTATTATTTGTAGTGTCATGCACTCTTGGAAGGTCCAGAAATTGGGAGCTATGCTTGTGATGCAAATTAAGAAACATTAATTAATGTATTGTCGAAGGCTTTCATGGCTGGAATCACTAGGTTTTATGACATATTATATTTAATATTTTAAATGTATATATATATATGTGTGTGTGTGTGTTTTTATATTTTTATAATATATACTAATGTATTGTCGAAGGCTTTCATGGCTGGAATCACTAGGTTCTTGTGGGTTTTTTCGGGCTATAGAGGCCATGTTCTAGAGGCATTTCTCCTGACGTTTTGCCTGCATCTATGGCAAGCATCCTCAGAGGTTGAGAAGCTCTGTTGGCTGCTTATGTATAGTTGTATGGATTGGTTACTTATAGCTGTCAATCAGTACTGTTTGGCTCCACCTCTTCCTGCAGGAGGGGAGTGCTTCCCTTTTCTTTCTCATTCTGCCATCAGAGTTCATACCACATGGACGTGAGTAAGAAGATTTACAATGTTAAATCCGAAGACTCTGGCAAATATGTCTGCGACATCGGACACCAGAAGACCACAGCAACCTTCTCAACCTCTGAGGATGCTTGCCATAGATGCAGGCGAAACGTCAGGAGAAATGCCTCTAGAACATGGCTCTATAGCCCGAAAAAACCCACAAGAACCTAAACATTAATTACATTGGTACAGTGTTAGCCTTGAGTCTAGAGTTGACTGCCTGAAATTGAATGATGCAAAATGGGTCATATTATCCTTCAGCTCAGTACAGTTATTTAAAATACTAAATTCATTATATTTTCAGCCGCACTTCCTGTATTTAAAGAGCAGCTGGCAAACAAAGAACTGCAAGAGGACAGCACAGCCACTCTGAAATGTGAAGTCTCCCAGCCTGACGTCTCAGCGACATGGAAGAAGGGTTCCCAAGTGATCTCCTCAAGCTCCAAGTATGAGATCAAGCAGGAAGGAACAATACATACTTTAAAGATTTACAATGTTAAATCCGAAGACTCTGGCAAATATGTCTGCGACATCGGACACCAGAAGACCACAGCAACCATAACTGTTGAAGGTGAGGCAGACACAATCCTGGTAGATGATGCTTTTGTTTTTCTCCAAAGGAGAAGGACCCAATTTATTTTGCTTTGTTGTTCTTTGTGATGGCGCGAGTGGTGCCACCTATGTATAGAACTGTTAGTTGCAAGATTTAAACTGTTGTATCATGCTTAATCCTACCCCTTTTACCTTGCTTATGTATAGTTGTATGGATTGGTTACTTATAGCTGTCAATCAGTACTGTTCCTGCAAGAGGGGAGTGCTTCCGTTTTCTTTTTCATTCTGCCATCAGAGTTCATACCACATGGACGTGAGTAAGAGATTTGACTCTAAAAGACCCTGATTTAAGTTACCTCTTAGCATCAACTCTGAAGTTTTTTACCCTTGGGACTCATGCTTTATGTCCAGATCATCCTGGACAACATTGAGGAGACGCAAGCGCCTTCAAACCGGTTCTTTTGGCACCAAAGGAAGATTCTGAATCTTCAAAACATAGGCCATCTGAACTGGGGTTGTGGTTTACTCTGGCATTCACAGCCATCGAGGAAAGAGGAAACTTGGTGAGGCTTCTCAGCTTCAAACACCTTGGACCCAGGACTAACTGAGACTGTAACGTAATTTTTTCCTTCACCCCTCTGAAGTTTCCAGCTCATTGCTTTAAAGAAATAACTCTTTGTGATCAATAAAACTTATTTTGAGTTATTTACAGCATTTTGGGTTTTTGGGAGTTCCAGTTTCCTATAGGAGGGCAAGAAGCAATCCCCCGGGGAAAGATGCCATGTCCATCCCTCCTTCATTAAGAATAATAGCCCCCAGGCGCGACGGCACAATCTCAGAACATTAGTAATGCTATCTAGTCAAAAGCCATGGTATTCCCTGTAGTAACCTACGGATGTGAGAGCTGGACCTTAGGGAAGGCTGAGCGAAGGAAGATAGATGCTTTTGAACTGTGGTGTTGGAGGAAAGTTCTGAGAGTGCCTTGGACTGCGAGAAGATCCAACCAGTCCATCCTCCAGGAAATAAAGCCCGACTGCTCACTGGAGGGAAGGAGACTAGAGACAAAGTTGAAGTACTTTGGCCACATCATGAGGAGACAGCAAAGCCTAGAGAAGACAATGATGCTGGGGAAAGTGGAAGGCAAAAGGAAGAGGGGCCGACCAAGGGCAAGATGGATGGATGGCATCCTTGAAGTGACTGGACTGACCTTGAAGGAGCTGGGGGTGGTGACGGCCGACAGGGAGCTCTGGCGTGGGCTGGTCCATGAGGTCACGAAGAGTCGACGACTGAACGAATGAACAACAACAACCAACTAAAAAATACTGGTTATCCACTTGCTCAATAATTTCCAAGTCTAGAATATTGCGTCCTGATTGAGCGTTCTATGCTCCATGCAGGCCAAGGTCGGAACATAAGGAGTGTCGATTGGCAAAGTTTCGCCCTGCAAAAATCACACCAGGTTTGCCTCAGCAAAGCACTCCAGGATCCACAGTATTAGCTAGGCGTCAAGGGCTATGCCAAAGAACTTCGTTCTACAAGTAGATCAGCAGGGCCAATTGGGAACAGGTGTCCGGCAACTCACATAATCACACTAACGCGTAGGAGTCGAAGAATACTGTAGAAGTCTAAAGCATACGTCGTTTCAAACGGAGGCGAGCCGAACACCCGACTGATATTTACACATGTACTACACATTTCATCCGTCCTATTCACAACCCGACCGGAAGGAGGACTCAGACGGCGTAGCTGGTCCCGTGACGAGGATCATAAAATCTACCACAACAACCACAAAACATAAAGCATAGATAGTACATAAAAAAGCACGTTGAAACAGTAAACAGACAGCAAAATATCGATCAGCAATCCCACGGGCTGATTCTTATGCCAACAGCGGTCCAACCTGCCTTACCTTCAAACAAATGGAGGTCGGTGGCGACTAGATCAGTTGGGAGGGTCCATAGTGGGGGGCTCACACCTGCACCGCACTCCTTTATCCCTTCCCTGTCTCCCTTTTTGCTTTTATTATATTTTCCTTCTATCCTTTCTTTTACTATTTTTCTATTTTCCCTCTTTGCCACCCTTCTTTTCTATGATCACCTTCTTACTCCTCTCCCCAACACCTTTCCCCACACTCCCAACCCACCCCCCCCATAATTCCTTCCTTTTTTCTCTTCTTTTCCCTTTTTCTCCTTTTTTTTTTTCTTTCCTTTCATGTACAACAATGTCTTTTCTCTCTCCCACCTCCACCCTCTTCGTTTCTGTGACATTAGTTATTT